ACGATTGTGATAGTAAAAATTACTTTGTATTCGTATAAAATTTCTATAATTAATAGGTGTGTTGTATGTGGAAATTGCAAAATATAATATTATACATGGTTTTAAAAGGCGTGTCATAGTACGAGGCGTAGTGTAGCCATTACGAAAACGTCCAAGACGAATTTGTTAAGCGTGACATCCAAATAACGTGTCAAGGCGCGTCTTAACGCGTTATGACACGAATATTTTTCAATGGGCGTTTTTTTTTCCTGATCGGGCCTAAAAGAGTTGGGTTTTTTTTTTCACTTTTTCACATTAAGTGTTAATATAACACTTCTAAAAACTTGATATATTTGATATAATTCTATAATTATGTGATTTATCTTTTTTAATATATATAAAACTGTCATGCCTTGAGAAACATCATGATTCGCCAAGACTCATCATGGCTTAAGTTTTGACATTGCCGCCAAGCCAAATCTCAAACCATTTAGAACCTTCGTTGTAGTATTAAAATAAAAGTAAGATATAATAAGTTAAAAAAAGAAAAAAGAAACTAGATTGGTAGTTCTTCCATTTAACCTTAGCCTAAAACCCTAAAAAATACAAAATGTTGAAAATAAAGGTTGAAAGAAACGTTTAATTAGGAAGGAAACGGAAGGGATCGAATAGCACATGGTGGCTTGGATTATTGAAGTGCTTGTGCTTGTATGGCATATCTGCCAAATATACCAGATTACGCCACTTCCATATGCTTACTTTATTTATATCCTTCCGTTTTTAATCAATCATTATTTCGTATAATTAAGAAAAAGATATTTAGTGAAAAAGATATTTAGTGAGAACACTTGCCTAAGTATTTCGACTATTATTAATGATAGACTAAACTTCACAAATGGTCCCTGTGATTTGCTAAAAATTGTCATTTTTGTCCAAAAAACTTTGGACTAGCAACACAAGTCCAAAGTTTTCATTTTGTTGCTAGTTTGGTCCAATTTACTTTGAACTTTTTCATAATGACCATTTTGCCCTTACTTGTTTCTTTTTTAGTTTTTTATTTATTTAAATATTTTTCTAAAAATTGCATTTTCTATTTTATTTATATAATTTTTTTATAAATGAATAAAAATAAATAAATAAAATATGCAA